GCTGTGGGTGCCCCTGTGCCAACAGTTTGTGATCTCTTCAACTGATCATTTAAGCAGAATGTCTGGGTAATGTTTGCTACTGCAACAGAACAAACTACACTACAGTTGCCAATTCTTTTAAGAGAAAATGTTAACAGTAATTGCAACTCCTTAATGAGATATCTAGGCTTACTAGTCACTTGTGCAAGATGTAGTTTAGATGGAATGTAGTTATTAATAAGGATGAAATTCTGTAAGAATGTGTGTATTCAACTTTCTTTGGTTAGCAATATTAAGAATTAAGAGCTTAAGTATTTAACATTTCTAGAAACTCCCTTGGTTTTCCCCCTGGAGAGCTGGCCACACTCTGGGTGGAACCCAACAACAACAGGAGGATGGAATCAGATGTTTCCACCCAAAGAAAAGTGCCAGTTATTTTGGCCTGTTGATTTAGAGGCTGGACCTGCTTGCAGCGATGTTGGATGCCTCACCTACGGATGGACACATCGTGTAGGATTTCCAGTTTGTAAGGAAGGGTACTCTAAATTCTCGCTGCATCCAGGGTTCCCTAGCAATTGCAGATCTGAGTGTTAGTACTTCTATTAAGTGCACTATTCCGTATTTTCCTTACTGTTTATTTTTGTAGTAGTCATATCCATTATTTATAGGTAGTGAAATTAGCCTACTCTTTTAACTAGTAATTTTAACTGCTGTATTGTTTTAGCCTTCTGTGAAACTATTCTAAGTATGCTGTGTTTTGAAGTTTATCTAACCCTTAATTGATAACAGCTCCCAAACAAGTCTTTCAGGTGCCGCTGCAAAACAGAGAAAGACGAGATCTGGGAGGCACTGGCCTTACACAACCTCTGACAAACAGCTAGGCTTTGACGAAGAACAGGCCTTGTAAGATAGATAAGAAACTGCTGAGTTGTGCCAAGGTGGCAGGGAAAAAAAAAAAAAAAATCAATCAGGACAGCAGACATTTTGCCTGGGCTTAGCAACTGCTGCCAACCCATCTCACACCTGTTTGATTGGAGTTAGAGCTGAGAGGCTCTCTTCCCCCAGTAGCTGGGAATAGCATGAAAGATCAGGCCTGGGGATGTATATAGGCCAGGATGGCAAAACGTGACTCCTTCAGCAGTACCAGTAAATGACACTTGGTTTTGTAGTGATGCTTACACGATAGGTTTACATCTCAAAGAAGAAAGAATATTTAATAATGATTCAGCTAAAAGGTTACCAGTTACTAGATGGTTAAAGAATTTGGTTTTATATGGAATAACCGTTTTGTCATTGTAATCTTTCTGTGATGTTAAGCTGTGTGTGGAAGTGTTTTATGAAAACGATGGACTGAACAATAAAAAGGGATCTAGATCGCTCAAAAACAAAAGAGGGATTCGTGGACTGGTTAAAAACCAGACATGTTATGAGCGATTCAAACCGAATGGCCTCACTGTAACAACAGGCTGTAGCTGTTGTGAAGAACACCTGCAAAGCCAAGGGGCTGCAAACAGTTTGCGTAGCAAAAGATAAGAAACCTGTACTGTTGAAAGCAAGATGTTTGCCCAGCAGGAGAACAGCGCATGGACACCATGCCGGGACCAATCGTAGAGGGCAAAAGGGCAAGCAGTAGTGGAACGTGCACATCGCACCCTGAAAGCAAAACCACAACAGCTTGGGGGGGGTGGAAGGTCATAAGGGGACAATACCCATAGACCGACAGCAGACTCTTTTGTCCCACGCCCTTTATGCTTTAAATCATTTTGTTAGAGGCAACGAGTCCACACCTCCCCTGTAGAAACACTTTATGCCAACCCAGGCGACAAAAACTATTCTTTGATTCAGATCAAGGAACCGGGAGCGATGGCATGGGAATCAGGCTGGTCGCTGAGAGTGCTTGGGCGTGGGTATGCAGTGGAAAAGGATGGTTCAATTAAATGGATACCTGCACGATGTATAAAACCTGAAATAACCATTTCTTCTTAAAAGTTTTCGCAGATTTTCTGTGGCTTTTGGCTACTTGGATCTTTTGCTAGACGAACCATTTCACCCAGACCCAACATATGGGCAAGCAATACAGAGAAGCATGCAGCAGCTGTGGTGAATACAGGAAAAGAACGAAGCAAAGGAAAAAGGGAATGGAGTAAAAAACCCTACATATGAAGAAATGGAACAACAAGCACTTCAATTATTACAAATATAGCTATATAGCACAGGGAGGGGGAAGTGTAGGGAGAGGCTCTCGGAAGACTTCGCGATGTACAGGAAGAATAGGGAACCAATCAAACATGCCAAAGAAGAATGTTACCAAAACACAGCCATGCTTAAGGTGGATCCCTTTAAGGAGCATATATAAAGCAATTGCACAGCTAATAAGTTGAACAAGTAGCAACCATCATATTGGTGTCTGTGCTTTTGTTCCCGCAAAGGTTTTAACCTCCTGCAAGGGTTAGCTGAGATCTGAGCGCCACATATCTGTGGATTGGCAGGAAGAAAAAGACAGCTAATGCCTTACCCCAACACTTAACAACACTATTCAAAGCTGAGGGGAGTTTTGTTTGATTTTCTTTAATAGTCAAGAGGCATTATTTGGAAGCAGCTCCTATGCTCTTTTCTTAATTTAGGCACAGGAAAAAAATTACTGTTAAGAAGAATTTATCTGATTGGTAACAGTTTGTGAGAGGTCCATAAGGTAGGGAAGGGTATCAAGGCAGGTTCCCCTCACAGACACATTTTTTGGTTTATTCCTTTAAGAAGCCATCCATAGAAGTGATGAAGTAAAAGGAAGCACACAGATCCATGAACAAAGCAAAAAATTAAAGAGATGAGAAGGTAGGACAAAACCCAACTCCTTCCAAAATAGAGGCAATGTCTTATAGCAACTTTATTACACTAGAAGTAAATGTGCCATACAGCCTTTGGATAAAAGCAGTGAGTTAGTCACTGTATATGAACAATACAACCGCTAAAGATATGAAAAGATTTCATTTAGTATCTCCAAATCCTTTGTTACTCCCTATCCCCCCAAATTATGTTAAGACATTTGTGAATCCTCCCATATAAACTAACCAAAGCTCCAACTTCATCTTTGGAAATGAGATCATCTTGATTTGGTGGACTTGTGACTCCTGTTATAGAAAGAGGTTAATGACACTAATTTACAGCAGAATATCTAGACTTGCTGGAGTATTTTTTGCTTCTGTTAGCTCATAAGAAAATGTTTTTCTGTTTGTATTTAAGGGTAGTTCTTCACCTAGATTTTCCAGGTAGACAAGCAACTTTCCTGTTGACAGCAAGCTTGTAGTCATCCATTGCTTGACCTCCAACAGTAGTATTTGAAATACTATTCCAACAGTAGTATTTCAATCACTAAAGGAACTTCATTCTAAACACCCATAGTTGGAAGTCCAGACAGTGTTTTTTAATGCTATTTTTTATTAGTTTAACAGGAAAGAAAAAATTTAAAGGACTATTACTAGAAGTATTACTCACTTCAGAATTTCCAATGTCATCCTACTGTCAGTCCTGAAAACTTGTAACCTCACATACACTAAATAAAGAGATCCTTACGCAACTAAAAAGCAGCCTTAGATTTTCTGGCTTATATTCCAAAAAATGAAGAGACTGGTAAATTACCTCAACACAGTTACCAGAACCTTTAAGTTTCACAATGGTTCACTTTGTGTGTTAATAATAAGAGATTAAATTAAGGGAAAAATGGATCATGGAGCAAGTACTCATAACATAAGATTAAATTAAAAAAGCGCAGCCAATTATCTAACCAGGCACCTGCTCACATGGTGACAGTTATCTAACAACAGAAGACAGAACTAGGCTATAAAAGCAGGAGTTTTGTGCAGTGAGGAACTGGTATTTAAATTCATTCAAGTCTTAAGACTACATGAAGCCATAAGGAATTAATCTAGGTAAGTTTTATAACAAACAGCATAATTTACTGGCAAAATTTAGTAAGTATCAGTAGGACAGTGATTTCAAAGCAGGATTGCCAACAGTTTTATACTGTCAACATCCACTTGACACTTCATTAACATATTTTAGAGATTGACAGGAGGCATCCAATTGCAATCTTTTTACATATTCCTGAGTCACAAGCTAGTAACTTACTATACTCACCCTTTTGTATCTCAACTTTCTTTAGTTAAGATTTAGTTTTCCTTTTCATTTAGAGTATGTTTTCCTACATTATGAGTTCAGTCTTCTGCAACTAGTTAAGACTTGTTATTAACCTAAAGCCAAGATATGGCACTATTAAGCAAGCCAAATCCTCACTTCAAACTACACCTATTATAGGGGCTCCTTGTGCCTCTAGCAGTACCGCTATGTGATTAAGCGCCATACAGCCTTTATAGTTAAGTAGATTTGTTATACCCAAGCTTTGTTCCAACCACAAAAAACAAACCCTGAAGACCATACATGGGTAGTAAAGCAGCCCTCATTAAATAATACACATCTATTTCTAGGCTCTTCCTCTGACTCTCTAATCTAATTCTTTACTGGATAGATGGTGATTAGGGCATACTAGCAAGCACTCAGTTGCAATAAAGACTAAAAGAAGTAGGCTATGTTAAATCAACACTAGGTTACCTAATCAAATATATACTACAGACATTTTAGCACTGTCCACAGTACTTTCAGCACGTGAAACTATTTACCTAAAAGGTAAATATGGGAAATCAAAACAGCAGCCTATTCTCTCCAACTCTGTCCTTTTACACACTAATTACAATGCCAAAGCCACTGAGTGAAATTTAAGCACACTAGAAATAAACTAGAGAAGAAGTTCAGAAAAATAATGGATAGAAGATTAAAGTTTAGACTAACTTTCTAATCGGGCATTCCTCCTGTTCCCATCCTGGCATGCACCAGGTCCTCATACCTGGCTGCAGTGATGGGAGTTCTCTACTCAGCTGACCTATAGGAATACAACTTGCCTGAAACCTATGTAATTTATATTTCTTGTATGGTAACAGACAATTCAATATACTGATTCCTTTGCTGACCCAGTTCAGATACAGCCCTCATACAGAGCAAATAGAACAGCCAACCACCTACCTAAAGCTAAACAGTGTCTGTTATTCAAACACATTTAAAAGACAAGCTTGTTTTCTATTGCCGCTTGTATTCCTTATTCCAAGGAATACATGGAGCTTAGAATGAGATTAACAACATCACAAAATAATAAAAGTAACAGCAGTGTAATTAAGGTTAAATCCTATACAATAACAAAACCTTCTGTTGTTGCACACAAATCCCTCTACAGCAAGCATATTCTTGTGAGCAGTACTACCCACTGCTAGCGGTGAAAGCTTTTGCCCTATATACCTGGATAGCTGAATTTCAGGTATTTCTGAAAACTCAAGAAGTCCCACAGGAGTAATCTTGAGTTGTTCTTTGTAGTCATCCACCCCAAGAGCATTCTCCTAGTTACACCAATCCTGTTAATTCTCATATGAAGCTTTGCTTAACAAAAAGGAAGAACATTTTAGAGGATGTATATCCTGATTTCCTTTTTCTCCACAAATACACTACTTTATGGAATGAGATTATATATAATGTATGTATCTATGTATTTTTATATATATGTACACACATATACATGCATACACACTTGCATATATACCTATATATGACAACAAAACACAGTGGGATTAGCAGGAAGTATTTGCCAAGATAATTCTTTTAAAGTGTATTTTAAGGGAAATAAGAAGCATTTTACCTGTTTTATAACTCTGTGATCTATATATATCCCTGAGTTCTTTCATAAGTCGATCTGAAGCCTGAACTGACCCAGAGACTGCACCCTGTAACAAACAAAAATTACGCCAAATAAGTGAAAAGTAGTATTTACATCAAACAACTTTATTTCCTTTACAAAGTTACACTAACTAGCAGATATTAAGAATATATTAATTTATATATTACCATTAGGTTTTTGACAAGTTACATATTCTAGTGAGCAAAGTCTACTCAAAAGAAACAAGACAATCCCTCTAAAGCAGCATATTAATATATACGTCTACGTGGTACAGGCGATACAAACTTTTAATCAAAGTATAACTGACATTTTTCTGTAAAGGAGTTTAATCTCTTGATTTCCAAGATGCATCCACAGTACATTTCTAATAGGGAAATATTTCTTTTTACCTTCTGTTCTTATGCACTGAAAAGGAGATTAAGACTAATCCTAAGAACAAGATTCTGCACATAAGGTTTTACTGTTTTCTCAGAAATATATTTGCATTTGGTTATGAAAGAAGGTACAGGAGTTGGGAAGCATCCACTATAGAACAGCAGCCTCTGGATGAAGTAAGACCAAGCAAAATATTTAGAAAATGCAGAACAAAAGCAACACATTCATTGCAATAGAGTGGAAAAAAAAATTTTAAAATCAATACCTACAGAGAGGAAGACTAAAGTAAGTAAACCTTAAAATACTAAATGTTTTGTTGTGATCTGTCATAGTTCTTGTGGTTTATGCAACCAGGGAAGAATCTGTATTACTCAGCATCTCAAAGTGATAGAAAACTTAGCATACCATTTCTGAATCTGATTATTTCAGCCTGTAATACAGTACTAAAGCAAAACAAAAAGACCTTTAAGAGACATGCATTTAAAATATGACTGGCCCTAAAAACCTCCAGTTACTGACAAACTAAGGAACACACCAGTTATCAAGTAAAAGACATCTATTTACATCAACAACTGCTGCACTGGATGTATTCTGCATACATTCCCAACATTGACAGTTCTGTGACCTTGGTATAAAATTTTGTCCCAATTTTCTGAGCTTTAAAGTGAGGACAGAACTTTCCCCTCTTACAAAACTGAAGTACTTACAATAATATGATGACCCAAAGCACCTAGATTACTCTCTCCAATTCTATGCCAAAGTTAGCACAAAAGATTTTGATACTAAACTTTAGATGTTACATGATTACCTGTTCATATATTCCACCTGAAATACCATTTTATATTCAAGACTTCTGGAAAACAGATAAAAATTAGTGCTCCAAGATTTAAAATATGGAAAAGGAATAAGGACTTGAAATAAGGTAAGGAAGCTATTGCCCTGAACACCAGCCCTGTGAAACATTGACTTTCACCAGCAGTCTCCCAAAGGTAGATTTCATAAGGCCTGTGCAGATCTCTGCTGCTGCTTGGACTTCAGTCACTCCCACTGAAATATAGGCTAATACATGTCACTCATAAGTATGGTTGGGGCAGGAGCAGGGGACAATCACTCCCCCAAAAACCCCCAACACAAAAAAGCCCCCTCCCCCCAAGCAAAGTTAAATTCAGCCTCTCTATATGAAGTACTGAGTTTACAGGTCTGTTTTTCTACTCCATCTAAAAATTTGAAGAGATGTGTTTCTTCAGTTTCCTTTCAGACCCTATGAACATCTACAGACAGATCCTTTCCGGACAGAAGTGTCAGAGAAGTATTTCTAGAGGAATCTGAAGCAGCTGTGACCATTGTCTAATACCTGAAACATCATCCCTGTTTGTCTGAAGTCAACAGTGATACTATATACTCTACGAGGACTTAAATTGTAGGATCAAATTATTTCTTATTAAGTCTTACATATCAGTAATAGTTACTTGATACTAAAGCCTCCATATACTCCTTTGTCTTCTCTGTTCAGTAGCATCATATAATATGCTTAGCTTCACACTATAATCTAGATTAGTCTTTCAGGCTATTCATTTCCATATTCCACTGGATTTAATTTGCAGGTTACTGAAATTCCACTAGTTTTTCTTAACGGACCGGTATGAAGAACATACTTTGTAATTAAATATGCAAATAAAGGGCAATTCCTTTCCTCCGATTAAACAAAAGCTACATAAGGATAGGGCTTCAGACAAGTCATTTCTCAATTCACCGAAGCCCCTGTCTGTAGAGCAGTATCAGACAAAGAAGGGATTTCTCTTCCTGTAACAGCAAGTGAATGAAGTTTTATGGGAAAAAAAAAGTGGTTGTTTATATACATTATTTGCAGATTACTACTACTTATATCCACTATTTGCAGATTAGCTGAAAAAGGAAGCATTACACTTAAAGTTAACATACATTTAAAAAGTTAACACAACGCAGTGTTAACCACCATTCTCTGTACAACTGCTGTGGTTTTTCAGACCTGTACTGTGAGTGTTAAGGTTGAGACTCAAATGTGTTGAGTCCGGAGGAAAGAAACTTCAGAGAAGCTTTACATGCAGAGCCATGCAATATCCTTGCCTTATCTCCTGTATTTCTTATGGAAAGGATTTTTCTTACATTCTTCCTAGAATATCGACCTCTAAATACAGGCAATTTAAGAACAACATCAATTCTAAAGACATCCAGTGGAAAACTAGTTTCCTCATTGCATCTTTATTTCCAAATTAAGCTACCAAATTCTGTATACAATGTTGGCAGCTCACCTTTGCATATGAAAATTTAAGTATCTTCTACTCCTCAGTGCCATTATAACTGCTGATAAACTGAAGTGGTATTTAAAAACCCCAAAAGGTTAGTTTTAGTGTGTGTAAACTAGCTTTTGTAGACTTTGTCTGTAACAGTTTTTCACCTTTGTTTCCTAGGAGCTTCCAGTTGGTCTGCCCACTCCTTATAGAGCAGTATTAAATATAGTTAGACTTGCTACTCTGAAGAATTGATAGACTGCAAGCCAGTAATCTTTGATCAAGAGAAAGAGGCTAGCAAGCTTAACCTAGGAGTTTAGCACAGGAGTTTACTTGACAAGCTCTGAACTACCCTTGGAGGAAGCTGAAGAGGAAGCCCACAGAGATTAACTGCTATACCTGATGGTGACCTTAACACCAAACACCACTGCTCTGAAACACAAAGCTTTCATTCTGGTTTTTATAACTACTGTTAAACTGTATTTTAGAGGAGAGTACTACTTGCATCACACCATTGCGTCATATAGCAGAGCAGTGAGTTCAGTTTCTACTAGCACGGCACTAAAATTAAAAACTTTAACCTTCAATAATAACTTGCTATATGCAAGTTATAATTTCAAAGACTTAATTCAGATATAAATAACTGAGTATCCTTCTGGAAAAGTGGGACTTACCACTCCAAGGGAGATAGAGCTCCCATTTCTCCAGTTGTGAGATCAAGACTTACAGTCACAACTGCCTTAGAAATAACTGGTGGGATCTGACAGATACCTGTCATGTGGGGTTGAGGCCAAACGCAGAGACACACAGCCATTTCATCTGTAAACTGAAGAAGTTAACAGAGCTGCCAGACAAGCTCCAAATGGCTTTTTCCTATTAAGTAACTGAATAGGCACAAAAAGTCTCACTTGATCATCCTCTCCTGTACAAGCATACTTGTGGTTCTCCAGAACAATGAGCAGCTAAACTGGAGAAATCCCTGCCACAGGAAGTAAACATCTATGTGAACAACATGCCAGTTGCTGAGAGTTGCAAATAACAGAAACACCTGGTACAGGAACTCCCAGAGCCAAAACTGCTGGACATCAGAAATATTCATGAGATGCATCACTACAAGCTTGTCCTGTTCTCAAACTCTTCCCCCTAAGGATGTGTTTCTGCCACTGGCAGAAACATGAAACTTTGGTCCAAGGCAGTGTAGGCATTGTATTTTTCAGAAGTGTTTCTAACCTTAACTAGTATTTTAGTGTGACTGTATGAATCTGAATAAAATACTTTATACAACAGTTAAACAACTTCTAAAAAAACCTAGGACTTCAGAACTGAGTTTCTGCATTCACAAGTCAGTACGGCACACCTAACTGTGCAGAAGTGAGCACAGCACATGCCACTGCCCTAGCTGTCTGCTGCACTAAGTCTCCAGAGATAGGAGGTTTTGCAGCCTCAGATTTTCTCCTTTGGAGATTTTTTTCCCCCCCTCTACCATTCCTCAAAAGATAACCCCTTTAAGGAGCAGATTGTGGTTATCTGAGGTAGGAGATGCAGCTCACTGCAGTTTTAAATCCATAGACCAGATTGTCTGTTTTCTGTCTGATCAGAAAAATACTGTCACATGTCAAAACAGTACAGTAAATCACCTCACTCACAATACATTTCAGATAATTCAGCCACAAGACCAAAACTTACCTGCTAAAACAAAACACAAAAAATGGAAACTCCTTCAAGATAACATAACAAAATGTGAAATGACCCAAAAAGAGCTAACAAAAACAAGTTTACTCTATGGCCACTGAACTTTTCCAGTATTTGTGTGGAAGTACATTCATTCATAGAAGTTAAAGGAGATTCGTACTTACTTCAAGGATTAGACTGAAAATAGAAGTGACACCTTACACTTCATAAAATCTGAAGATGAAAGTGGAAACAATTGAGGCTTCTAAAGGAAAGTGCATAAACTCCTCAGTCGGAAATAGAAAAAGCTAATAGCATTATCTTAATAAGAAAAGCATTAATCTCTAAAATGACTATGTGGGGAGAGACCTCTGAAAAGCAAGCAGCAGCAAGTTGTTAAATATTTGAAGCTAATGATTCCAGTTCAAAGACTTTTTTTCACTCCCAGTAAGCAAGTGGTTCTTTACAGTTATTACAATGTTAAGAGGAGGATTAACTCTTGCTCCAAGTTACATACCGTACCGCAAGCCGAACTTATTTCCTGATGCTGGCAAGAAGAGCAAGATTAGGGATACTGCCAAGGAAGAGAACTCATTTACAAAATTAGTAGATATATATTCTTAACTTGTATAAAACACACAAACCCTACAAACTCCGATGACAAAAGTCTTAAGCAGCAGAAAAAAGTCTTTAACCTGTTAGTAGTATGTGAGAATGGGACTGCATGCACTCTTTTCCTACAGAAAAACCTTTAGCATGATTCGTAATGTCAACCTGCATTTCAGCCAAGGGGAGAGAGGATGACTCATGGATTTGGGCCAAAGAACATATGAAGAAACTGAAAATCTTCTGGTTGCATCGGGCACTAGTCAAAGCCCCACATTAGGCTTCATGTTCTCTCATCCAACAACAAGCATGCAAGTGGCATGGCTTTATTTTACTTTCATCTGTTGATAAAACAAAGTACACCAAGAGGAAATATACAAAGTGCTGTGTAGTTTCTGTGAAAATTAGACTATGTTTAGCCACTCCATTTAAGTTTGTGAAACTCATACTGTCCTTTAAGAAAACCCACTATGAAGGGCTGTAGAGTTTACATTTTGCTTTATGTTAGGATACTGAGCAAACTTCCGCTATCTTAGATCATATTTAACAGGTTCTATTAAAAGTCCTGTGTTTTGGCAGCATAAAGGGGCATTTAAGTGCCACTAGGTTAGCTCTTTCCTAGGTCAGTAGTGCAGCTATAGTTTCCAGTTCTCAAGCACTTAAAAGTAAACCCTCACAAATCCTTTGAGAAATTATTTAAGCAGCACAGCTATTTCTGGTGACCCACAAAAATACCATGGTTCCTCAGCAGCAGTTGAATACCCTGTTCCCTGTACTCAGCTGACCTTGTTTATGCACCAGCGTCAACGAGAGTGTCTTGGCATGAGAAATGGCTATTATGTAAGTTGAATCTGCTGTTGTCAAACAAAAAACCAGCAGTGTTCATTTCAGCTCTACTAGATGTGGACAGAAAAAGCAATAGGAAAGGCAGTATTTGCCAAATGGGAAAGAACAGATAGCAAAAGAAAATCAGCAGGTTTAAGAGGCTTTCCACACCAAGGAAGAATGTTGACATTACAAAAACCTTTCTTCAGTTCTGCCAGACCTTTAAATGATGGTAAAGCAGATCATGTCTTTAAGGCTGCAGGAAGACTTTTTTTTCTTAACAATTAAGAAGTCTTTACCAGTAGGTCTGAGTTATAAATATGGAAATATACAGAATCTCAATAAGCACCTTCTCAAACTCTGAACAACATTTGAGTTTAAACAAAACCACTAAGTGACCATTGTATTTATGATTTTTTAAAATATATATATATAAAATATATATATATTTTATATATAATGTATATATAAAAATATATATATTTTATATATCTTATATATATATTTATATATATATATATTAAAAAAACCATATATGTATTATATATACAGCAAAAGCAGTTTGGCAGCTTATGTTTGCATGAAATACCGATCAGGTTTGGGTTTCTTTTTGTTTGGGGGTGCTTTTTTTGGCTGGTTGGCTTTGTTCGATTTATTTTTTTTTAAAACAGGTGATCAATATCATACACATTCCTTCAGACAACCTGATAGGTAACTACTGAATTCATACACAAATCAAAGAGCAGTCTCCTCTAGCCAGCTATCTCATGTTGCCTATTTCAGCAGAACATAAGTCTAAGGTATTTTTGACAGGTTTGCACTCAAGTCATATTGGAACAGCACTGGGACAGAAGCAGAAGACTTGTAGTTGAAGAACTCTAACAAAAGCATTTATATTTTGTTTCCTTTACAAAGCAGATGGCTACAAACTGAAACTCTTTTCCATGTTAAAGTGTCAGTAACTAAGAGGGAAGAAGGTTTTTTTCTAAACTAGGTAAAGTTATTTGGGGTCAGTAATTCATGACAAGAAATAGTCAAGATTCTACTAATTAAAGGAGCCTTTTCCCAAAATTCTTACAACTAGATCTACCAGGAGTGCATCCAATATTACAAGTGGATTGGCTTGGTTAGCGCTGAGCACTTTGAATATATATATAGTTGTCACTACAAATCAAAAGATGTTTACAACAGCAATTCTCTTGAATCTAATATAATTTAAATATAATTTAGGCTTTTTAGAAATTATTTACTGGAAAAGTCATCAAGATTTTTCTTGAACTAGAACAAAGGTGGTTCCTTAGGCAAAAATCCAGGTGTTCCCTACATACCAATCCCTAAATCTTATTCCTTCCCTAAATACAGGTCCCTCCCCTGTACCTAACTACTGCTCACATCCTCAGCTATTAGCTTAATGAGAAATAGCACATCTTGTGCCTGGACACGATGTACATGTCTGCTGACTTGCCAAACAACATACAAAAAAACCTTATGAGCTCACAGTAGCAGGCACCAGTTCAAGCACCTTCCTTCTGTACAGGTGACTTACAGAAATTTTAGAACCCTTACTTTTGGTTGAAACTGGTCACGAACAGATGCGTTACACATTTTAAGCCTCTGTGAAACAAAAGTTTCATTTCTTTGGAAGCCAGGCTAAATAAAATTAAGGTTGTGTGACATCATCATTCCCTCCTACATGCACCTTTGAGAAGCAGAAGGTTCTCAAACTTGGCACTTGTGACAAAACACTTCTAAGCCTCTGGAGAACAAACACTTTTTACAACTGCCTGCTGGCAGGATCACTCAAAACTGTGACAATAAAGCTGCAGAGCTGCTGAAGGCCCCTTGCTTTATGTCTGGCAAAACACCCCAACACCCTTCAGTAATTTCCACATGGTGTAGATATTACTGAAAAACAAGCTCATGCATAAAATGGATTTAAAGCACAAATTCCTGGGTTTACTAAGTATGTTAAGTCACCCATGAATTTTAATGCAGTCTGTTTTGTATATGGCTTTATTTTAATAAGGGTTCAGCAACAAAAGTCATGCTTATAACCTAGATGCTTTCTGCTGATTCTGCAAGGAGGACTACTATTCGTAACAAAGGCATCAAGAAAGAGACAGAGGGACAACCAAATAGATACCTCTGTAAACTGGATAATCAGTTAAATATAATTAACAAGTGTGACACCTGGATTCGCATGTAAGAGTTGAAAAAACTAAAAGATGTTTCTTCATCTAAAATGCCAAGAATACCCCACCTCAGCTTGACAAAACAAATTATGATGCCATTCTCCCAGGATGAGAGCGCTTTGAGGTAGTTTCTTGCCTCTCTGGGATGTGGGCTGACAACTAACTTCCTGTGTCAAAGTTTTTTGATGAAAGATGAGTCCAGTTACTAAATGACCTTGCAATCCTAGCTAGCCTATTCAAGCTTCACCAAAAAGAGCTATTTATGTCCCATAACTTGAGATGTTTGTCTTATACATGTTGGAAATCAGCTACATGCTAATTTATGTCTAGGTGCATAGCAGTAGGCTTTATTTGCTGAAAACAATTTCTATTTTACAGACAGAAATATTACAGAGAAAAAACATAAATCATTAACTCACATTTAAGTGATCTTGCCTTTGATTTTTTCTGATTTTTTCTAAGATTGCAAGGTTCTCTTTTTCAATGCCTTCATCCTCAGATTTCTTCCCATCAACTGGTTCCTCCTCCTTCATATCATAGTGATCCAGATCTTCAATGTCCTACAGGATAGAGGAAAATTCACTGTAAGTAACTTAACTGTGATCTTCGTTCAATGAAACCCTCTCCAAGGGCATCTATGGATACAGTCGCATACTGCACACACTAAGTATTAGTGACTGTTGGATGGCATTTCTGTTTTGCTCTAACTTCACTCTCTCAGCCAGCAGTATTCACTGGAAGTGTAGGGAGCCTTCATAATACAAATGAGACATTTCACAACATGCTTCTGGTTACAGAAACAAGAACAATAAAACCTCCACAAGAAGTTAAGATTCTAGTGAATTAGCCCATTGAAATAGGTAGGAAACAAGAAGTTAAGGCATTTTGAACAGGGCTTAAGAATCCAAGAGTACCCAATGTTAGGGTGTTTCCAAGATGTCTCGAACAGCAGAGTCTTTTTTCAATTAGAATCCTAGCTATATTATACCTCTGGCAAACAATGATTAACATATCTGGCAGGGTTACAGCAACCCTTCAAGAAAGTTATGTATTAGAAAGCTACATGTACTTTTACTCAAGGTGAACATTTCTGCTAAAGATTAGATGCAGCAACTTGGAATTAGGGTGAGACAAAATTATGTGATCAAGTATTCTGATCACACAAGCCAACATTTCATTTTTGAGTTCTAGACTAAGACACTGAAAAATCCTCCCCTCTGTATTCTGAGACAGGGTTTTCCTGTTGCAGAGGAGCACTCTGAACTTAAGACAACTGCCTGTAAGGTGATTCAAGTGCTATTTGTGGAGGGGAGGGGAAGGATGTAAATGCCTTGAGATTAAAAATGAAGCACTACAGCAGCCACACCAGTAAGTTATGAGCACACAACTATCAGATATGCTCCAATATGTAGTGCTCCACCTGTGGCTACTCTTTATGAACCATCTGTTTGCATGGCAGGAAAACCTGGCCATAAATGCAAATTCAAGGATATCTTACATAGTAAAAACCACACCTATCTGGTGCCTTTGACAATACTGTTTCCTCCAACTGTAACAGATTTTAGACAGTGTTCTTTAAAATGCTCGTATTTCTCAAAATAGTGATACAGCCCTAGGAACAGTGAGATGCTTTTCACTTCAGAAATTGGACTAGATTACAAGTTGGTGATACCAGTGCCACACACACTATGCTACCTGACAGTTTATAAATAATGACATGACAATTTTTTTGTCTAAGTAACCTGAACAGAGTGCTAAAGGCTACTTACAAGTCCGCAAGCAACAACAGCCTTGTGGCAGCAGGATATTGGAGAATACATACTACCTTTACAGGAACTCTGGCTCCAACAAATGTGGTCTGGATCAGGCTAAGTATGGTATAAGATAGGCTGCTTCAAATTAACTCCAGAACAGGGGCAACATTTAGATCTTTTCTAAAGGAAGACTTTTATTCAGAAAATGAGTTGTTCATTCTTACTACACTCCTCCTTTATTAAAAATCTAAATCTGAATTAGTCAGGTCTGTTATAACAAGGCTACTGTAGTGGTTTAAAAAGCCAGCATCTTAGAGCTATTCTAACATGCAGTACAAGTAATTGAACGGGGTGGTTCTCACACAGAAAAGCTCATTAAAAGAAGCACCATGTTGCCAGACAGTGGCATAAACCCCTTAAAGTTTAGCATGTCTGTTTTGGATGTCCTTCCATTTCCTTCAATGTATTGTAGTTAAAAATTAGCTCACCTGTTTAATGAATCAGCAGACTAATTTACTCTTAGCCAGTCTGCTTCAATTTGGGAGGCACTTTCAACCATATCAGAGCCAGTTCATATGCTGTTTGAAATAGGAGTTAACAACACAAACTTACTGATTTAGCACACAGTGTTATGTATTGTTTGACTAAAGCACAAACAGATGTACAGGTGTCTCTATCCAAGTAAGCTCACAACTGAAATCCAGGTTTAAGAAAATCTCACTAGTTTTGTGGTTGATGTGAAAGCTGACATTAAGGTAACCACCCAAATTTTTAATTATCTTTTCTACTGAACTTTAGTGAGACTAGGTTTTACAGTTTACTTTAATAATTAGCCAGCCACTGCAGAGCACAATGCCAGAATTCTAGTAGATTAGGACAACTATCTCGTATATACACATACTTCACCCATATCTTCCTCTTCCTCCTCTTCTGATGTAACTTCTTCTGTTGTTCCATTCTGCAATACAACAATGAGGTTTCTGCATAAGCTGTGCATATGTTCCTTTCTTTCAAAACCAGGAACTCTACTGCTTTCTCTTTTGATAGTATAGATGAACGTTACACTTATCAAGGTCTGCAGAGGACTGAGGTTTAACATGACAGACATACAAAGATGGTTTTCTGGAGTACAACAGTGAAGAGATTTTTGCATGAAGCAGAGATAGAGCATCACAATTAATTTCACATTAAGTTCTAAGTTGAAACTTATGATTCAGATAAGGATATCCTATTCTGAGACAGTGACAAATGCCATAAACAAGTCAAGCAGGTTATAACTCATGATCTCTTCACCATGAAATCAGATCATAGCTCTGACCAGAATCCATATACATGCTAGACCTCTTGAAAAGCCCAACAAACTCTAGACCTCTAAAACTTAATGGATTTTTGTCTCACTACCTAGAACTCCTATGCAACAACTACTGTCATCACATAGCCACTGTTGTTAGGTTATTTGATAAAATACAAAACGATATATTGAGCTCATTTTTCATGGCTTTCAATTTCAAGATACCACCTCAAGCTCAGGAAGTTTGAGCTGCATAAAGACTCAGGATACAGTTGTCCTCTCCTTACTCTTCGTTTGGCGAAGAAGAAATGCCACTGCTGTAAACAATACAGGGGACTAGATGGATCTTCAGTCTGACTTACTAAAGCCACTCCTACTTAACCCACAAATTATCTGATAATAAGGCTAAGAAAACTTCCACAAGTTTGGTTTTCAGAGCATAAGCAAGGCTCTTCAAATGAGGCTGCTTCCTAATATTACAGGTCTATTGCCTTACAGTTGCACTGCTATGTGGGTGGCTGAGAGAAAAGACCTATAGTATTACTGTTTGGCACGTGACCAAGATTAAGCAAGTTATTTGTCATTACTATAGTACTGTCACCACAGGAAAACCATCTGTTACACTACAGGAGTTTTTAGAAATCATGTCATCTTAACATGTATAAGCAAAAGAAGGTATTATAATCTTATTAAAAATACAAAAATGAACAGTTACTGCCAGTTACCAGTTCTGTTTTCAGCACAATACAAAGCATTTTAGTTAACCAGAACATTTCACAGCCCTTCACAACTCCTAATTTGTCAAGTGCACAAAAAGTAAACAAGGCACCTCAGATACTCCCTACCCAAAGCAGCATACGGTCTTGATATCCCATGTCTTTGCAAGGGATTGAAGAGGAAAGAAAACATCAACAGTAGTTCATCCAAGTGCACACTGTAAACTATATACTCTTCAACAAAAAGCAAATATTGTTTAATCACATTTACATTTTGGAAAAAATGAAAATTTGCGAAGCACTAGGAATGCACAGCGATTGGCTTGAACAACATTTCGGGGGGAATTAAATTGACAGGCCTGATATCACATATACACCTTTCAATGATACAGGAACTCCAAAGTAAATTGTGTAATATTATCACACTATTATTAAACGGATTCTGCAAACAAAATTCAAACTGAGAACACTACAGTACTTCATATCTCAGTCAAGGTTTAATCATTCCCACCATCATGGTTCTTGGATTTGAAAAAAACACCACCTTCATTGCCATAAGAAAGTGTCCACAGTATTTTAATTTACCTGTCCAGCTGGTAACGGCTGATCTAACATTTCAACATCTGGATGCTGAGGAAGATTATATAATCTGCAGAGGTCACATATTAATCGCTTCAGCTGTTGAAGAAGCTATAAAAAAAAAGAAAACACAGAAACACGCATTTAAACCAAAGCACAGAACAATATATTCTGAATTTTCTTCCTATGTTGGTACTGATCTTTCAGTCAGTGTATAGCATTTAAATCTGCACTCACTGGAATAAAGTTTAAAGATGCCTCTTTTTCTCCATAGTCATTGTAATAAAATCCTCACAATGAGAAACCAAGGACATGGCAAATTAAAGATGGCTCCCATTCATCTTCATGTCAAGCACAAAAAAAACATGAGCAAAAGAATAATCTGCCCTGGCAGCATCATCCATTCCCAGCATAGGTGCCTCAGCCACGAATCACTAAGGAATAATCAAACGGTCATATTCCATGAGACAAGGTAGTCCATTCCAGTTTCCTAGGTTAAAGATCATGTCTTCAAAAAAAACAAGGAGGAGCAGTCTGATTTTTCACATCCTGAATCCCTTTCTAGGACACACAAGTGAGGCACTAGAAGCAAGACAAACACTGTACAAGGCACAGAAACTAGCCAAGCTCTGAGCTAGAGCCCAAGTAGTCTGCCTCCCGTATCTTGTATCAGGTCGAGGCACAACCTGTTACTATCACTGATTTCTGTTTCCAACTTTCAGTATTACATTGACTGTGTTAACTCTAAAATATGGAACACCTTTCATTCAGGGTAATGCTAACCAGAAAATAAATTTAGTTCTGCAAAAACAGGGAAACATTGCTTCTTGATCACCATGCTAATTAAGTAGAGTTCCATAGCTGTTAGTTTTCTCTAGGCAGCCTCAGATTCCTCCGAGTTAAGGCCAAGACCATAAAAGACTGTACTACTGCATTTCCTCACTTTTCAAGGTCTTTGCATAGCTGTGTCAGAAAAACAAAGGAAGGACTGCACAATACATTTGAAAAATTATCACAACTTCATTATTTGCAGAATAATACCCTAGAGGAAGCTTGCAAAAATTACATATCCATGTATGGACTTTTCTTCCAGATACCAAAGGAAGCTTGTCTTGCCACTTGTAGAAGGTAGCATGCAAGATAGCCATTTCTGTACACATATCCTTCCACACTACTAGTAGTTACACTTAAGAGTTGCAACCCCCATTCCCCTTTAAGTACCTATCCATAAAGGAGGGAGACTCAGGCAATGTGGCCTCACCCAAGGTACAGCATAGACCATACTATCCCAAAAGAATAATACCTCTACAAGACTATTTGGAATTTGTGTACTGTATTTCTTAAAATACACAATAAAGTATCTAAGAAAAATCTAGTCACCCCAAAATACTCTACATGTCTAAAGCCTTGCTATTGGCCAGTTTAAATGCTCTTACCTTACTGCACATGAAAATTCAGCCTCTCCGGGGTTAAGAACTCATTTCTGAGCCCATATCACTAGCAGTGATAAGAAAATGTTGCCCTTATGCTACTTGAAAACTTCGGTGCTTATTCCTTCTCCAGTAGAATTCAACGTTCAATAGAAACGTTATTTACTCATTGGAGGCCATGAACATACCAGCCTGCATTACAAGAATTACAATGTTCCCTATCACACCACTTTTTCTGTTTCTGCATCATTTGTGACAGTCATCCTCAACTCAAAAAATAAAGCATATGATACCAAAAGAACTGGTGTATCAGCAACACATTTCTTGTGAGTATATACCTCAGATGTAATAGTTTATGTTGCCACACGTTTTCTCTAACAATCACATTTCTCAGCAGTGTTAAGACTCTACACCTTTTTGAACCTTCCTTGGGTGTCTGAAACATCAGGAAATCTCTTAGCAGGCAGAAAGCAGGTTAATAAATCAATAAATTAGTTGGTAGATAAAGTCACAGGTCTTAGAATTATTGTTCTCAACACATATAAGATGCTTAAAGGTGCACCACTATAGATTTTGTTGAGAACATTTTTCTCTGCACTAACAGTGCCTCAGAGAGTTGGAGCATAAAATTTCAGGAATTGTCATTTTTCTCACATAGCTATATAAAGCTAGGCAAGCCAGTAGTCTGTTTGTGTAGCCAGTGTTGTGAAGCATACAAAAAAATCTAAATGGTGGGGGAAGAATACCACCACTGGCATTTGGCTAGTCCAAAGCTTTGAAAAGCAGATGAACACAAGTATTAGATGTGTCTCACAAAGAAACAGTAAGTGCTGAGAGTTAAGAACTGCTTCCTGCCCTGCTTCCTCTACTCCATAAGAAGTCCTGTCACCTGAATTGAAATTCAGAAGGAATCTTTGCAGCCAGGCCCTAACACATTGCAAGTTTCTCTCACTTCCTTCTGAACAGAGCACTACTGCGAGGTACACAAGCACTCTGAAAGCAACAAGCTCCTGAAGAACCTGGACCAAATTGCACAGTGGTTGTGCCTGAAGAGGTGTCTTCCTGCCTCCAGCAGCACATTTCCACCTTCTCATATGCACTTGCACCAGAGATCACACAACCATGCAACAGCTTACAAGCTTCGTGGCAGATCAATTCCTGATGTGCTTCAGCTCATAAGGACCAACTTTCATAAAGGGGGAGGCAGGAATGTGCAGTTGAGGGCAAGGACCCCCTTCCTTGGCAGCAGTCTACACTTTGGAGTTAGCTTAATGCAACTGTCGATCTGCAGTTTCATTTTTACAGCTAAGTTGTTTTGCTTGACATCAGTTTCTATAATCTGCAAAGGTGGTGGCAGAGCAAGAAGCTGACCCCATCTCTACCACCCTTCTCCTTATTGCTATGCTTTTCCTCCATAGGAATTCATTTCATACCCTTGATCCTTCTGCCATGGATCACCATCACCATTATCCCTTACAAACTGAACATAGGTACAAAAAAAATCACAGGGTAATTTGGTCTGAAAGCCATGTCTGGAAGTCATCTGATCCAACCCCCTGCTATAAGCAGGGCCTAGCACGATTTGGTATGTGTTAGTGGTACATGAATAGACTGTATCGAAAAGGATAGCAGATTTCTGCCATGTATTAATAATTTAAATGTATTTCCAGGCTAACTTCACATGCTTGGCTAACGTAAAATGAATGCTTAACACACACTTTGCTGTTGCTGCAGTGGGCTATCAGTATACTAATAGTTTCCCTGAAATACAAACTGCCTAAAGCAGAAACTAAGCAGCAACTAGAATGCAAAATCCACAGGGTATTAAAGGAGCAATATAAATAGCCTGTATAAGGTAAATGCTCAAGTGACCAAATACAGTGACAAATTTATAAACTAATTATATTGATTATAATCAATATAAAAATAACAACAAAACATTAAAATGTAATATATATATCTATAATAGAACTTTTAATGCTTCAGGAGTTCCAAGAACTTGGTTGCTCTTATGAACACCATAATGCTGTTTTAGAACACAAAAACACCTCTTAGAATTTCATGTTTTCTGTATTAATATTTTATAAATCTGAAAACAGTTTAGAACAAATTTTCTAAACCTATCCTATATTAGGAGGCCTTTTTATGCATGAAGAGATCCTTCTACTGCTGCATGAAAGTATTAACAATTTTAGGATACCTTTAATGATATTAATATACTACTGGGTTTGCTATGAAGCACCTTGTTTTCTGATTACCAAGAAACATGGATTTACAAAGTACAGTAAGTATACACATACTTATTTTTTTATATGTTTCCATCTACTTATATATACACACTATTATCTATATAAGAACAAATGAATCAATAAATCTTAGCCTACCACTGAAGGAAACTGCTGAAGTAGAATATAAGAGGAAACAGAGGGAAGAAATAACTGTCCTTTGGAGTGTGACCACTACTTAGCTATCAGGTAGTCTGTGACAGTAACTAGCCTCATGCACATCCAGCAGCCTTGGACAGTTTCAGAAAAAGCAAAGTTTCTTCCTGCATTTTGCCTTCATGACCCCAGTACAAAATTAGTTGCTGCCATGTTGTTAGTTTGCAAGAGCCAACATTCTTGCCTGAAATACCATCACATGAGACTAAATCTAAATTCTTAATACAGAAGCAGCGTGCTTAGGGACAGCAGCTTATCCATGCTGTACACATACTTATGCCAGGAACCCTATACTTTTGATGTCTTCCAATCAAATTTAAGCCTTCAAGGTTTGGAGAGTTAAATTAAAACTCCCCATCTGAACTTAAGTTCATTTCACTATTGCCTTTAAAAAGCAAACCTCCAAATCATGTGCAATTGTATTTAATAACCCAGAAAGTAAGGTTTGAGACTTGCAAGGATAACTTCCATTACATTAAACAGAACAATGAAATTGGAGGATCTCTCTTTTGCATGGCACAACCACTAGAAGGCAGCTGTCAGTTGCTACTATATACCTACCAAGTCTAATGAGATGCTGCTTTCAGGATCTGAAAAAGAGCTCAGGAGACACTAGGGGTCACAGAGAATTCTGCAGCCCCTTCATCCGCTGACTGGAACTTGCTCAGTATCAACAGTCAAGCAGTTAAAGACTCCAAACCTAATGCTGATCATGTTCTTTACAATCTTTCAACATTTTTAGTGTTTTGACAAATTTTCATAGCAAATAGCACCATGCTGATGCCAAGGTAACAGTTTCAGAACCACAGAAAATTTTCCAGCAAACGTGTGCATGATTTTAACATAGTAGAAGTTTTCCTTTTACCATGTCAAATGACAAGGCTTCCATATAAATATAAATATATATATATATGTGTGTGTATATATATATATATATACACACACACACACACACACATATCACACACACACACACACACACATACCCCTGTCAAACTTCTATGCCTGAAGATCATGTTCTTCAGTTTCACAAATAGCTGACACCTGTCTAAAGTTACAAAGCAAGTAGAAAGGGCAGAGTAATACCAAAGAACACTAAATCAGGGTACACGTGCTAGCAGTGATTTTAGCAGATATTCACTGTGCTCAGTTGAGCTCCTGGAAGAGTCCAATGCAATTTCCCATTCAAAATTTGACTGTTCCAATAACTTTATGACTTTAGAGCAACATGGCACAAATGCTACTTTAGCTGCAATAAATTAAAACTGCTTTGAAATATTCTAAAAGTCTAAATTGAACTGAGTTATTAGGACACAGCGTGATAAATCAGAAACTCTGTATTTCTACAAGTAGTTCCTTATCCCTTCCTACCCTATTCCAAGAAGTCTCTGTGTGTTGCTCCAATGACCCTGAAGGGGAGAGAGTTGCACAAGGAAAAGTTGTAGGGAGAAAAAAGAAACCCAAAGCCCACAAAACCAAGCCTTTTGAACAAAACAGAGAAATCACACTTTGTAATGCAAGTATTTGTCTCTTCAACCACTCCCATCTGTCTTCACCTTGGCATAACTTGATGTAGGGTGGATTCCTGAGAAACCAACGGGCCATCCACAGGTGTCTATTACATCAACCCATCAGCTTTTACATGGGCAAGTACAATCTTGATATCAGAAGCTGTTTTCTTACAATGAGCAGTCTACGTGCATATGCAATTCATGACAGCAAATCCTATGAATGTTTGCAATAAGTCTTTCTACCCTATCACAAGCAAACCTGTAGGTAGTTAGACACAGGAAATACCTTGTTTAAAACCTTTAGTCTGAAGCTACTAGCCACACCAGCTTAAAGCTGGAGAACCTTCTGAAAAGTGTATTTAAGAAAAAAAGTTGATTTGGCCATATTTCCTGCTACTATACTGTAGTGTCTTTCTAGGCAGAAATCAAAGACTAGGAGATCTGTAACATTCTTCTACATGTAGTTTAGTCTGAAGTTTAGGTTTTAAAAAGAAAATGCACAACTGATAAAGTATGTCTCCTGTAATGAGATCCAACAATAAAACATTAAAACCGTAATGCTCCTCTGCAATGCCACTTTGTTTTTAATTATGGAAAAGTCCATGAAGGCCCTCACTTGCTTGTTAGTTTTCTAATTATTTCTGCTAGAAGTCAAATGCATCTTAAATACTCTTAAGAAAAAGAAATTTACACATCCTTATTTAAGGTCAAATATGCTTAACATTATCCCACTAAATATTACAGGTACGTGATTTCATGAGAAAGAAGATTCCCAATTTTCACAATGCAGGCAAATACTAAGGCCAGCATATAATCCAAGCAATAAGCAGTATTCTGCAAGACTGATTTGTTTAGTATGCATCATGTGCATGCATGTGTTTCTATATACATAAATAAACAAAAAAAGTTAAAATAAAGATCATTAAGGGCTATTTAATATGCATCAAGCTGAATTTGGAGAGGAGCAACTGAATTTGTCAGTAGGCCGCAATATTGCTCTGTATGGAAAAAAGTGTATTTGTACTGAAACTTATGTCCAAAAAATATTCAGACACTTACTTTCCTATATAAAATGAGAATTTTTATTTATATATATATATACACACACACACACACACACACACACACACAGAGCTCCTATCACTACATCAAAAGAGTACTCAAGTAAGATATAATGCCAGATAGTTTTCTGAAATACAAAACTACCATTAGAAACTGTGCAACAATTTACTTTAAATAGCAATCATCCAAACTCAAAACACTGTTCAAACTTACCACTATCTAAGGAACATTCTGATGAACCAGAAGCTATTAAGGTCAAATTGTCTTCAATGAAACCAGGAATTTTTTGTATCAGTTACCATTACACCATGTTTTGGAAAACATACATTCTCAAGAACAGAAAGCTTTTGCCTCTGTAATTGATCTCTGTATAAAGAAAACTCTGGAAGAGCTGGTTTCTTCAGTAGTTTTAGGTTCTCATGCATTTCACTGTTTAATTATTTTCAGAAAACTTTAAACTGTAATTATTGGGGCTGAAACTTAACTTCTTTTTAAAAGCAAGCATTTAAGTAATCTTCCCCTCCTTGCCTCAAGTCTTTTGAATTACTTTTCACAGAATCATAGAATGGTTTGGGTTGGAAGGGACCTTAAAGACCATCCAGTGCCACTATCTGCCGTGGCCAGGGACACCTTCCACTAGCCCAGGTTGCCCAAAGCCCCGTCCAACCTGGCCTTGAACCCTGCCAGGGAGGGGGCAGCCACAGCTGCTCTGGGCAACCTGTGCCAGTGTCTCTCTACCCTCACAGTGAAGAACAGAATTCTTCCTTATATCTAATTTAAATCTACCCTCTTCCAGTTTAAAACCATTACCCTTCATCCTATCCCTTCACTCCCTGATAAAAGAATCCTTCCTCATCTTTCCCGTAGGCCCCCTCTGAGTACCAGAAAGTTCACGTGTTTTTTGGAAGATATACTTGTGTTTACAAATCCCCCCATATAACCCCCAAACTGAACTGATTAAATTTCTTGTTAATGTGACAAAGCTAAATAAATATCCAAAACAACCAAAACACTTGGCTCACCAGAGTATTGCTCTTCTTAATATCTTCTAAACGCTCTAAGACTGAAGTCAGGTTTGGGTCATCTGATTCTACAAACCATATTGGTGATGAAGAGGGGTAAGACTCCTGTTAAAAAAAACAACACAAAAGACCCAACAAATAAATAAACAAAAAACCCATAAAGCTTTTAAAACTCATTCACCCCCAAAATTTCACATCACAGTATTAACATCACCTTTTATCTTACTTTCTAAGCCAGGTAACATAGAAGCTTTTAATACAGCATTTGCAGGCAATAAAAAAGTAGTAAGAAATCCAGTCCGCTGATTCTTCTAGTGTTTCGTCCTATTTTCATCTTGATTAGATGATGGACATACATAAGAAACAGTGTTGAGAAGTTTAAAACCGTGGGGGCAGGTGGAGCAGGGAGAAAACTAGAAATGCAGTACAGGTGATCATTACCAAAAAATGTAATCACAAGTAGTACATGTCAAAGAATAAAACTGTATTGATGCCAATTTAACATAAAAATACAGATTCTTCCGAATTTAAGCTCTGAAAACAACAAAACCTGCAGTCTTCAGATTTCTTCCTCAAATAGGATTATTCAAACTGTTCTAGCACTGGCCCTCAGATTGAAGCAACATGGCTCAAATCTCCTGCCTCGGAGGACAAGTTAAGTTAGGCAGATCACAATGCCAAAAATCTGCAATTTTATCTTTGTACCATCCCAGCTCACAGACGACTTTCCACTGCTGAAAGATTTCTCAATATAACCCTATCAAGAAAGCTTACAGAATAACGTTCTTCCATCAATAGAGTCCTAGATTTGTTAGGCAGGTGCACAAACACATCCTAGCGACAGAGATCAAATGGGTTCACAGGATTAGAAGTGTGCTCCAGTTTCCAGAACAAGCCACGGTTAGGACACATACAACATACGGAATAGATGTGACCCATAACTGCTTGTATAATCCATGACAAGTGATTTTTCTGTCACTAAGCTGCCACAGCATGCAGCCCTTCAAAATGTGCTAGGAAGAGCCTTGTTACAGAAAGGTAAAGTCATTTGCCTCTTGTTTAGATGTTTTTACAAGCAATTCCATTTTTTTCCTAACACAGGTTTGGTAACATTGTGAGGCTGGTGGAAACCACATAGCTTCCAACTCAGCAGTAAGTGTCTGTATCACTGACATGTTTGGATTTTCTTGTTTTAGTTATTTGAGGCATTCTCCACTTCTCACCCATTCAATTAAATTCTAGTAGCCGAGGACAAATTGCTGAACCTCATTTTTATCATCCAGATATTATCTTCATATCCCCAGGTATTACAAAATAATACGAGGGAATTTTCATTCATTCCTCTCACTGCAGTTTAAAATTCCGTATTTCTCATTCCAGAGACAACAAATCATGCTTCATCCTTCAATACTTAAAGAGTCAAGGTTCCTACTGATACTTTAATAGGCGACTCCAAAATGTACACTATGCTTACAAACTTACACTCTTTCTTGATTGCACTGTGTATTTTTTGCTTTATAGTTTTCAAGACAACTACCAACTTTCAGACAAGGAAGACATCATACCTGTCTGTTAGTGCTGTCTGGTCTTTAGTGGTTCTCATGCAAACTTAGCCTAAGCAAGCTCTCAAAGTACAAGTCCCATAAGAAAAAAAAAAAAAAGACCTTCCTTATTTAAACTAGCTTCTGTCATTTCATAGTTTTATTAGAATGCAGAATACTATTCGTTTGTAAACTGAATACATAAGCATGTTAGAATTGTCTCTTAGTAATACAAAGCTTACTTTCTAACCAACCTTCTAGCTGAAGTGCTGAACCTCATCAAAGAATCCATGCGATTGACAAAAGGCATCAGCTTTGGCAAAACAGACTACCACAGCAGAGTTCCCACCTGGCAGCACTCTCCAGGAAGTTCTAGCTCCAGAAGTCTAAAATTTCCACCTGTAAACTGAAACCTTTGTCTAAACTTATTTTTAAACATGCTCAATCCCCTCCTAAGTTTATATTTATTTTCTTAAAAATCACAGCTAAAAATACCTTAGAATACTGATACTTCTAGTATCTTTATGAGAAGACAAACTGTTTACATTCTTCAGCTTCGCTCTGAAGCATACCATACACAAAGCAGAGACTTTAGTTAATTCTTGATTAACTAAGGCCTAACATCTCAAATGTCTGGCAAGAAAGTCCAGTGCTCAGCTTGCCCAGATTTTAAGGCTAAGGCAGGCAAACAGATGCGTAGTTACATGTTATTTAATCATTTTCTTCCTTTACTAAATACAGTACCTTGGAAAAGTGTATTTTCTCCTCAGTTTAAGACACTCTTGAAAGACTAACCACTACCACTGCTGGAGAAACATGGTTGAATTCCCAGCTGCCCCTGGGTTCCCAAACTATTTTTTAAGGAGCTACACTTTATTAAAGATATTCCAGGTTTTGTACTGATAACATCCCTGACGTTTTTCACTCAATCTGCCTCTAAAGTCTCTGGCAATTGTGCAATATTCTTACATCAAGACTTCTACACTGCAACACTGGATCTTTATGCACAGTAGGGAACATCAGAAGGGAGACTGGCCCTAGTGCCTGAAGACTTGTTTGAACCGGCTACTTTTGAGACCTGAACTTCTCTGGCCAGCTCATTACGTTAAGAGAAAGGCAACAGGGTAAACACTACTACTGCGACTTTAGATTACGCCAACATTCCCATCAGCAAATACAAAGGACAAGCAAAATCCCTTCCAAGATTCACTGAGCCATCTGCTTGTTAAAATCCTCAGATTCATTAGAATAAAAATATTCTCCATATACAGCCAACATTTGGGCTGTGTATGCATATTCTTCTAACAGGTATTTTTAGCTTGGGTTTGGTTTTTTTTTTTTAGATCAAGCATTTGTAAATTATGTTAGTCCAGGTCTAAGCAAGTCTATTAATTGCAGTGATTTATAGCAGATAAACATCTGTCAGTCCACACTTGTAAACCGTATCTGGAATCTGAAGACTCCTTACAGAATGAAGCTCAACTCCTCACTACCTGTATTCTTTCCTGACAATTCTGTTTCTCCTTTCTCCACCAGCAGGATTTAGTAATGAAGGATTTAATGAACAAACCCACAGTAGGACATTTGCTGGTTGCAATTAGTACCTATCCAGTCTGGGTGGCTTATACAAAAATCTCTTCCAAAAAACTTGCAGCAAAGCCTTTGTCAGTCAGGGACACGACTGATAGTGCAGATCTGAAGATCAAGCAATCCCACTATGTGTTTAAATACGTTACAGTGGCTACCTGAATGTGCTGATGCCTTCTACATTGAATGACAGTCCTTATGTTTTGCTCTCATTCCGTATTTTGCAATGAAAGCAAGCCCTGCTGTACATGAGAAAACATACCAGGATTTGATACTGCCTGCATGATTAGTGTATAGCACATATGAATTATTATACCCTAAAATTGATTAAATACTCAAATTTTTAGTCTGCTTTAGCTTTTGAAACATGAGTAGGAGCAATGCATTTACCAGAAAGGCTTTTCTTAAATACTGTGTGAGTATATTCACTCTTCTGTATCAGAAAATATTTCAAAGTTTGGACTTCTGGAATATGGCTATTTAATCACATATTCCAACTTTTTCACAACAGATGCTTAATATTAAAATACAAGTTCAATCAAACTTCTAGTTTGCTGCAACACTTTTTATTCTTCAGAATCACCAATAAATATGTTCATTTAACTTAAAAAAAAATAAATGGCACTAAGTTTCTCCAGATCTGTAAGTAATACTTATTTTTGGAACAGCTGAGTTTCACGCGGATATGAGTCACCATATTTTTAAATACAGAATTCACACACAAACTTCAAACATTCTGATCTTGAGCTATAAACAAGCTCATGAGTTTGTAACACCATAGCATGCAATGAAAGACTAAGCTTGTGGTTTGTAAGGTCACACAACTGAACTCCACATAGGCTAATTCTGTTGAGATAATTAAGCCAGCTTCTTCTTCCTTATCTGCATCCTATAGAGAGATGGATTTGAGTGGTTAACTCATGTAAGGAACACAAGCTTCCCAAATACAAAGACGTTTCACAAGAGGAACCCTAAAATAGCAGTTATTTTACTATTAATTCTCAGCGGCTAAAAAACCAACATTATTTTGGGCCTTTCACTACAAAGCTGACATACAGCAGTTTTGTATAATCTAGTTTAGCTGCACAGGTATCACCCATACTAAGCGTTTGAGATCTTTTATGTAACTGCTATAACATGACATTTCCCTGCTCTCTACAAGTAAAAGCAAAGGCTACAATGATTAGATTCGGGCAGCTTTCACAAGCTAATGCACGCTGTACAGCTTGAAAAGCTAATGCAATTGCTCAGTAAGACACGACAGGCTGAGATGACATCACACCTAGCATGTACTGAGGCCTGAGGACAAAGGCTGAATGTTTACAGCCAACCCAGATACAATTACAATTCATGGGATCATCGCTTCTAGAGAGTCTTTGTATTAACACCAGGACAGATTGGGAGCTTTGTCAACACAAATGCTTCTGTAACAGAATGCAGCGAAAGAATTTAGCCTACTAATAAACATACAAAATACAAAGAGAATAAAGCCCCGCACTCCTGGTACTGGAACAATTTCAAAACCTATCAAATCGTTTAGGAAAACCACCACGTATGAGAAGAATAAACACGGGATCTCACTGTTCAGACATTCCATTGCATCCTCTGAAAGAGGGTCTACTTATATTTTACTAACAATTTTAGTTAACCAAAAAAAAAGGAAAAAAGTGACAGAAGATACCAGGAACACATAAAGACAGCTCTTCCTGGGTAGAAATCTGTCATCTAAGTATATCTTATCTAAGCTTTCTCATCCTTAACAATAAGGCTGTTTTACTCAGTGTTATACAATCTTTATCCTGTTCTGTAAAGCTACGGCAACGCAATTTTGATGCAAGAGATTTTTATAGGAGCTATTTCTAAGTCACTATAATACTGTTGAAATTGTGAATTGCTAAATTAAAACAACCCATCTTGCTCACATTCCTAAGATTAGAACAACCTGTACACACAGCTTGCTATGAGGTGATAAGAGTA